GCACAGCTGAACAGCATGGCAGGATGGATCTGCCAGGCACACTCGTGAGTACCAGGAGTTTGAGAACTAGAAATGTCACCAAAGGTCACCAAGTTCAGCACCCTCTTGCAGGATTGCGGGCACTGAGCTCGAGTCTCCACCTTGTGCAATACAGGAAGAGAGCCCAACCTGCTTCCTTCCAGAGATGTCTCCTTAAGAGCAGCCACCACCATCGGGCAAGGGCGAGAGTAGGAGTTCAGAGATCAAACATCTTATGTCCAGAAATGACATGTGTGGTCTGAAAAGGCACAGATCAATCTGATATTTATTTCTACTTCTCACAGGAGTCATGCATTAATTAGCCTGTGAGGCTTGCTCCAGGAGGGCTTCTCTCACAGAGCATGGACCAGAGGGTGTCTGTGAACACCTGCCTGCTCTGCACCAGTGCTGCCGTGCGCTCAGCAGTGACTGCAGCAACTGTTCCACGAAGCCTCTGTCCAGGGCACGCTGAGTGTGACCCACTGAGCACAGAAAAGGTGCTCCAGCCACTGTCCTAAAACTTCACCTGCACGCCCACATGTCCAGACCACCCCACAGCTCTTCTTTGATGCAGCACACTGTCCAGCCCAAAGGCCATTCACCTCAGACAGCTGTGCCTCAGTTACCTTGGCTTTATCTTGGTCACTGACTTGTCTGCAATCCCACTCCTCTTAGCAACCATTTACGACTGCCATAAAAAGTATTTCACCACTATCATACACACAATGAATTCATGTCAAAAATTTTAATAAAATAAATCCTGTAAATGAATTTTCAAAAATGTTTCTGATTACATTTTTTTCTTTACATATGCACAGTGATGCTATGTGAACACAGCAACTCTTAATAATCTGACAGCATGGCGTGTGGTGCCATTGACATGCCGCAGGATGTGCCTGAGCCTCCCAGGACTGGCAGCCCTACCTCGCGCACAAGCCACCGGCCCGGCCTTGGCCTCGCTGCCGCCTCCGAGCATGCCACAGACACCGTCCACACCAGTCACCCTCCTGCGGAGCTTCCAACAGCCATGAGACCAATTCCTTACAGTCATTCAACTGCAGCTGAAGTGCAAGGCTCCCCATAAACATTAAGTCCCTGACATCTCACACTCAGGATTAGTCAAGTTTTGTAAAAATTATCAAATATGTACACAGCAGGAACTTAAATCCTTTATTAAGACTGTAACTAAATCCCTTAATGAATTAATAAATCCCATTCTGGGTCCACTTTAGCTCATTTGTTTCTCTACTCTGTGGCCTACACACTTTCAGTACTTAAACACATGAGTGTACTAAGACCACAACTGCCAACAAAAGACATACTCGAAGACCAGGACATATGCTTACTGTTCACTGCTCTGACAATTAGGAGTTATCTTCTTTCTTGTTCAAATGAGGTTTATGCGATGACAAATGGAATTACCTAAGTAAAAAACCAGGATGAGATGATATGGTGCCTTGGTAGTGTAATAAACTGACTCCAGATTTGTTATAAAATGGCATGTCAATTTATACACACCATGTGGAATTGTTAAGAAATAATCATTTTGAAATCTGGGGTTCTCTAAAACCTCAGGCACTTAAACACTTATATAAGATAAGAACAATCTGTCGACTTGCATCTCTTGGCTCTTATCAGGAACTAAAATGGCTAAATATGAAGATGAGCCTATCGGCCTTCAGCACAGCCCATATTAACAGTGCTTTCTCTAACGTCAGCTCACTGTTTAACATTCTCTCCAGTAGAGCAAACTGCTCCAGGCTGAGGGGAGGGCAGGCAGTAGACAGGCTGCCGACTCCCAGCTCATCTGTAAATCTAAAGAAATGTCTGACAGATGATGCCACCACAGGTTGATAGTAAATATGATACCACAGACATCAATGGATCAGCTATTTTTCCAACATTTACATAGAAAGCAATCACTTAAAGGTGACTCCACCTGTCTCTGTACAATCTTCACCAAACCACTGTGTCAAATGAGGTGACTGAGGCAAACACCGACACTCTGCTGGGTCCATGCTCCCAAGGACAGTCAGTGAAACAGACTTACTATGAAATGTTTTCTCCTAACAGAATGAGAAAACAGAACGGCTCTGAATATGACCTCTTCTTCAAAGTAAAATAAAACATAAAATTAGAAAAGTTTCTCCAATTTGCCCCAATCCTAACAACCTGTGTTATATGTCAAAGTCACATTTGATGGAAGCAATCAGTTTAAAATGTGGTTATAAAGCTTTGCTCAAAGGCTTTGCTGAAAAAGAATGTCTTACACAAGTGTGTCATCTCATGGTAAAGAACTTGAACTCAGACAAAAAGAAAATTTGTACTTTTTCCTTATAGATATTAATAACACTAGGTAAATACCAAATTTGATTGTTTTTCTTAAGTTCATTTTATACTGTCAGTCTGTGGTTTTCCCAATCAAAATATATTTCACATTAATCATATCAAATTAAAGAACATAAATTTAAAAAGACGAATTTTTTTGTTTTTATGATGACCCTAGACTCCCCTAAATTATCAAATTTTTGTTCCTTAGCGGACAGTTTAAACCAGACAGACATCAGGCCTAACAAGGGTAATTAGACCTACGTGGGCATCTACACAAAACCCACACAGAAAAAGAACCACAATTAGTCTTCTCGGCAATTACTGTTATGTGATTTGCATTCATTACTGTGAGGATGAAATCAGTAGCATTCCTCTTTTCGTGTGTTAAAAAAGTCCAGTTGCCCTGACCTTGCAATTCATATGTACACAAACACCCACACGTGAATGTTCATAGCAGCATTATTTACAATAGCCCTTACATGGACACATTCCCAATGTCCATTGGCTGATGAACGCATGCACAAATGCGGCCCATCCATACAGTGGACTCCTACTTGGTCATAAAAGGGAGTGAAGCGTGACGTTTCTACAACATGGAGGACATAATGCTGCAGCGAGCAGCACTAAAGCCATGCTGGGACCTAAAACCGCATAGGCTTTAGGAAATAAAAAAAGGTGGGGGGGGGGGGCCACAATTTTTTTCTTAGCATGCATTCTTCTGAGTTCCCTCTTTTCCCACAATTATTTGATACTTTGAACCTTGGTTACAAGGCAAGATAACATTATTTACATGAATGTAAAGTTGTTTTCCAGTCAGCCTGGAGCTGCAGACTTGCCACAAGACACCTACCATCCAGACCCTGGGAAACCAAGGAAGACATCAGTGGAAATATGCTGATTCCACCCCGAAGAAATCAAAATCCTACAGGACCCTAAGACAACGCCAAGGATGAGAACGAAGCCAGAAGACAGAAGCCAGACAGAGCCTTGGAGAGAATGTGGCCCTGGCCCCTTACATGTCCCCTCCCTCCTTCTTTTCATTCCGTTCCCTCAGCCCCCTCTTTAAAAACCCGTCAGTAAATCTGAGTCTTTGAGATGGTCTTAGTCTGGCCATCTCCTTCAGGTGTACTGCAGAGATGGGTTAGCCCAGCATCTCTCCTCAGGTAACCGGTGTCCCTGAATAAAGCTGACTTCCTATTAAACCAACATTCGACTTTTGGATTGTTTGTCTTTGTTTGGGGCATGCAGCCGAACTTGGGATCAGTAACAAGATTTTGGCAAGCCACAGCCAGGAGCTGAATGCCCTGGAGTAACAGATTTTGGTGAGCCAAGCCAGGGTTTCTGCATGGAGCAAGCAGCCGGACTTGGGTTCAGTAACGATTACATGATTCCAATTCTAGGAAGTGTCACAACAGACAAATCCACGGAGACAGAAAGCAAATTCATAGTGGTCCGGGGATGGGGGTGGGCGAATGGGGAGTGACCACCCAAGGGTATAGGGTCTCTTTCTGAAGTGATAAAAATATTCTAGAATTAGAGGTGGTGGTTGCACAACCTTGTGAATATACTAAAAACCTCTAAAACGTATGCTTTAAAATGATCGATTTTATGGTATATAAATTAGATCTCAATTTTTAAAAAAAGTCTGCCCCTACTTCTCTTTCTCTCTCCCCCGATTCTGCCATCTCAATCCTAGCAATTTATACTAGAGGTGAAAGCAGTTTTTTGAGAAAAACATTGTTTTCACTGTTTCTAATATGGTAACAAGTCTTACCAACAGGAATCTATGTTCAATAGAAAAATCTACATTGTGTTTTTAGGAAAAATCAATGACTCAGATATATTAGCAGACAAACCTCACGGTTCTTCCTGGTAAACAAAATACAGGCTTGAGAACTCAGTAACACAAAGCTAAATCTGTCTGAGTTCTTCCTTTTCTCTTTCCATGTTAATCACAGTTACAGTAAATAGGTCACTTATGGTGACTAGCCTTTGAAAGGTCCACCAACTGACCACAGGCCACCAGCCATGGGCCGGGCCAGAGCACCTCAGCCGTCGCAGGAGAGAAGAGGGCCTTCCCCACACTGGGCACATCTAGAGGGACACAGAGATTCCCCTACAGGCTAACACCCATGCTGCTTCCAGGTCCTAGTCAAAAGGGACAGTACAGCTTGTGCCATGGACCCAGTTTAGGCTACATTGTCTAGCCCAGTGAGCCACCTCTGAGAGTCTACATTTACATGTCAATCAGAGAGATGTGAAAAGACCTAACATCAAAGACAACGAGCCATTACGGCATTACGATGTAATGTCGACGAAAAGTTACAACTGTCCATTCTCAGAAAGTGTCCAGAACGTGATCAAGTACATGGAACTGATTGACAGCAATAATGTGAATCTGTGTTAATATGGAGAGATTTCTACTATGTAGGGAAAAGGAAAGCTGTAATCATAGAGGGTGTGTGTTGACACAGAAAAGACCCAGAATCCAGAGATCTTGGAACAGCGGAGCTACAAGACACTCTCACTTTCCTCACCATCTTTATAGTCTACCACTTTTCTCAGACAATAAACATATATTACTTTTCTAAAAAGCAGGGGAATTCCCTATTGCCACTCTGGCCAAGGAAAGAAAAGCTCTGGGGACTCACCTTCTGAGTTCAGGGTGATCAGGGTGACATTATTTCCGATGTTCTGACTCCCAGACTGTCCACAGTTGGAGATGGAATCGCTGGCCTCCGACCCGCTCTCCCCATCCTCGTTGTGGCTGTCCTCCTGACCTGGCACCTTCACCACGATGGTGTTCTGCCGACGCCCAGGAACAGCGCTGAATGGGAACAAACGCACAGCCAGTGCCGTGAGAGCAACAGGAGCAAGCCAGCCCGTCGGCCCCAACTCACGCACGTCCTCTCTCCCCAACTGGTCACAAGTCTAACTCTGCATGGGCCAGAAGACCACGAAGTCTTCCCATACAGCTCTTCTACAAAGACGGATAGCAATTTAATAGTAGAAAACAGTCTGGGGTTGAAAAAAAACTATATAAAATAAAACTTAAATGCCTAAAGAAAGTATTTATATCACAAAAGAAGTAAAGTCATGACTCACTGTGACTCAGGCCTAGAATGCTGCCTTCTGATTTCAGAGGTTATCCTATAAAATGTTGACACTTGAGTAAGATTCGTTTCTATGGCTACGTCAGAAGAAAGGTTAAATTAAGAGAAAGTGTGTCTGGAGATCTGATCAATGCGATCCACACTGCAGACATCTGAGATGTAACAGCCTCTCAGAGTGTGACTGTCATTCCTACTCATTCCCACAGACAAGAGCCTGGCAGGTGGGCTTACACAGCTGGTCCAGAACCCCCGGAGCTATTCCCATCGCAGGGTTCCTGACGTGGAGCAGCAAATGCTGCCAGCAAAGTAGGACCACGAGGCCGGCTCCAGAAAGGCCCCCAAAAATTGTCTGGAGACTTAATGATCCTTTCAACACCCTTAATGTGGACTGCTAAGTACTGAGAAAGGGTGAAGGGCACCACTTCCCTGTTTGAGAAGTCAAAAACATATTTAAGACACTGGCTGTGCCCACAGCGGGGAGTGGTACTTTGCCCCTCCAGACTTGTTCTGCAGAGAGTTGTCCAAGCTGGACTTGCTCCTGACACTCAGGATTGACCGCCGGCCTAGGCACAGACCAGTGCTCGCGTCCCCTCCCCGGCAAGAGGGCTCAGCCCTGGCACCCACAGCCACCCACCATCACCTTCCCTCCCTCCCCTGACATGTCGGGCCCTCTCGACCACAGCTGCTTTTTGATGGAGCTACAGCAGTAAAGAAAGCAGGACAAAGCGGGAGGAGGAACAATCTGAAAAAGAGATTAAGAGAAAAAGCAAAACAGAACTCTCTGAAGACAAGGGTGGGCAAAAAGCAACTCAGCCCTCGTGTTGCTTTGGGGTGTGGCACTGGGAAAGCAGAGCCCGGACCACTGGGACAGGGCCCGCAGCGGCTGCACCTTCACCCATAGTGGGCGACACTGCCCTTGTCCACTCCCACCTCTGACCAAGCTTCCACTCAAAATGTCTCAGAAGAAAAAGGTGTAAGAAAAAAGTCATAAACTCGACAAGCCTGCACCATTTAGCAAACTTAGAAGAGGGTGCCTGTTTACCCGACATGCTGCTGTCCAGACAGATGGATGTGAGTAACCAACGAACTAGGCAGGAGGGTAAACACCTGCACTGACTGCTATGGAATCACAAGGCAATCTCCCTCTGAGACATGACCAGCTCCAGACACACAAGTCCCGTGCACGGCTCACCCTCTGTGCAGCCATATGTCAGGGGTGGGCACTGAGCATACCCCAGCCGCTCTGAGCACTACAAGCGCCCTCCTGACCTAAAGAACTGGGGTGGATGTGGCTGCCAGGTTCACCCTGCAACCACACAGATGGGCCACATGCTCAGACCATGCCCTGGCTTGGGAAGTTGACTTATTCTCATGGAACTCAACACAGTGGTGAGAAAGGTGGGGTTGGTGCCGTGGCTACTGACTTGCTAATGACATTTTCCAGGGAATCCGGTGCCCTGTTGCTCAAGGGGTCTTCCATCTTGGCTACAATGGCGTTCTGCCGATCATTGTTGAGTATTACTGTAGTCTGGGGGACGATGCTATGGAACAAAAGAATCACAAAGAAAAAGAAGACCTTAAAACAACAACATTCATTTTAAGAGTACATAAGAATTATTCAATACAGTCAACTCCCAGTGACCTGAACTAAAGGAGGGAAGTGGCCCCAAAGAGAAATCACTTAAAGTAATTTACACTGAGTAAGAATAAATTGGAGATGGGGATTTTTTAACAGAGAATTTAACTTTCCTAATTGGTATTTTCAGTTTGCACTACTGGACAATATAGGGAAGCTGAGCTAAGGGAATTAAAATACTTTATACAGAACAAATAGATATCACAAGTTATCATGCACTGCTAACAAGGTCTCTGAAGTAATACACTTGGCATGAAACCAGCTTGACATTTTTACTCATTCCATCCCACTAACTCCTACATGGCAGCTCTAAACTTTGGTAACTGTATACACATCGATAGCATTCCAAAATGTCTGCACTCAAAAGAACGTGGCCGGGCCGGCCCGTGGCTCACTCGGGAGAGTGTGGTGCTGATAACACCAAAGCCACAGGTTCGGATCCCATATAGGGATGGCCGGTTGCTCACTGGGTGTTGCTGACAACACCAAGTCAAGGGTTAAGATCCCCTTACCGGTCATCTTTTAAAAAAAAAAAAAAAAAAAAAAAGGATGTGGCCAACATCACATGGAGACTGTGAACAGAAGGACACAGCACTTACTACCTCCAGGTTCTACCGGGAAGTGCATGAACTACAACCAGAGGGCCTCGGGGTTTCAACTGAAAGAAAAATTATTCTACAAAAGAACCGGCCATGATCCAGGAACCGCCACAGCCGGCAACATCCTAGTTGGAAGCTCCAGTGTCTCAGAAGGCAGCAGCAGACACAGACTCAACTCAAGGGCCCACACTTGTATTTCTCAGTCATTAATCTTTTAACCCTTAGCGCTCTGTGGCCACAGAAGTTTCTGAGGTGTGCTTTGCTGCAGGACGCTGGGGAGCAAGGAGCACTGGGAAGGCAGTCTCACCACCGAGAGTGATGCGCCACTCCTGGATTTCACTCTGCAAAACCTACCTGGGGGGAAAGACTGCTTTTCTGTGACTTGCACACATGAAAATCCAGCCTAGTGTCACGGCCACACAATAGTAAATGTCCCCCCATCGGGTGCCCATTAGGGTGCCATGTCAGGCCCAAGTAAATCCCAGGACCACAGGGAAGGGGGTGGGGGGCTCTAAAATAAAAGCAAAACTGCATTTCACTCAAGGGTATTATTATTTTTTTCAGTTACTCTACTTATTCTTTGGTGACACCTAGAGTAACCCATCAAACCCTGACAAATGATCCGCAGGTCAGACATCAAAAGTAACCTAGGTGACTTTTGACTTGCTTATTGCCGTCACCTACAGGCTTCGACAATCTCAAGCTCTCATCTGTGTAAAACAGGAGACTGAGATGGCTTGTGTAAGCTTGGTATTTTCCCAACATGTATTCCATGAAAGGCCAGCATCCCCAGGATCCTACATACACACACACACACACTCTCTAATGGAAATTCACAATGGACATTAGCACATTAAAGGTCTGAGAACAAATCTTAATAGGTTAAAATTGATTCATGCCACTCTCTGACAAAGTGTTTGACTAAACACACCTTTTTTCCTTGAAGATCTTACTAAGATCTAGACATCAGGCTCTGAGGTAGCCAGTTTCCAGAGGTGCGCAAGGCTTTCCAGGGGCTTGTGCGTGTGGATAGCTCTCAGCAACTCAGCTTCCAGAACTTCACCTTCCAGAAGGTACTATCTCCTAAAAACGACTCTCCTTCAGACAGTACCTTTGCACAAAGCCCTGTTCTCACTTGAAAAGAAAGGACCTCTGGCTATGACTGTCCTGAGGTGCCCTGTCTGTGCAGGATGTGAGGCCCAGGAGCAAATGCAGGTGGGCGTGGGCATGGCACACGGGCAAGAGTGCGGTGCCTCATGGCTGACGGGACGATGCTGTGGTGAGTTAGCTGGTTTACAATCCACTGCCTTCAACAAAGCTGATGGAGGACCTAGGTGAGCTGTCAGCTCATAGATCATCAAAAGTAATTTTTGAAGACAAACCACTAAGATTTTTGGCACATAACTTGAAGAATCAAGGGCCTCCTTCCTCTCCCACACACTTATTTATGTGAACAAAGTTTCTCAGCACTCAGAACTATAAAAACTAAAAGCAGAAACAGAACCAATGTTGAATCCTGTTGCATATAAACAGTAAGTCAAAATCATCCATGCATTCAGAAATTAACTACAACAAAAACCGGATCCATCTCCCCGAGAACACATTCAGAATACTGCATGATTACGACTTAGTCATGAGCAGGTCACATGTTTATGTTGTCTTGCTCAACTATGCGCAACTACTCATTGTGAGTGACTCAATGCAGAAGCGTTTTCCTAACCTTAGGGCCTCTCAGTCACAGGACATAAACTTTTCAGCTTCATTTTATATCCATATTTCTGCTGCAAAGGAATGCAGCAGCCTGGTTAACAGGATAAAATTCTGTGATAAAAACAAAATGGACATAAAAGTTCAAAAAGCAAACGGAACCATGTGAGAGTTGATGGTCAAAAGCTTATGCAAGGTACAGAAAGGACATTGTTGGGAGGGAGGGGGGAGAGGGAGGAGGGAGGGAGGTTTCGGTAATGGGCCACAATAATCGACCACATTGTATATGAACAAAATTAAAAAAAAAAAAAAAAAAAAGCTATGCAAGGGATTTTAAATGGATGATGGTATTTAGATTATAATGGCAACATTTAAGAGAGCAATGAATCAGTTTGGTTTTTAAATATCAATATTACAATATGCCAGAAATTATACCCTTTCAACTAATGCAATTTTTATCAGCCTCAAATTGTACAAAAAAAAATTTAGTTTTCCAAAAATTACAGAACATTCATATCACGTTAAGAAGAATGAAGTAGTTGTCTAAGGGTTAATATGGAAGAAGTGCCACAGTAACATTAAGTGGCAAAAAATGCATCAGTAAATGTAGATGTGTGTGTACATGCAAATGTTTCTGGAAGGAGACTCTCAAGAAACTGGGGTGGGTAATTGTAGTGGACTGAATTATGTTCCTCCCCTCACTGTGACTGTTAAGAGGGTGGTAAATCCTATTATGTTAATTGAAAGGTGGAGCCTTGAAGAGGTGATTGGATTGCAGGACAATGTAGTAGTGAATGGATTAAAAATGGTGGTCAGGGGCGTGGTTCTGAGGGCTTTAAAAGAAAGGAGAGTCTCTTGCTCTCTCTGCTTCTACTATCTTGCAAAGTGAGACCCCTGGGTCACTGTCGCCACCACCAGATGGACTTTGGATTTCCCAGCCTCAGAAACTGTAAGCGATAATTTTCATTTTCTTTATAAATCACCCAGTTCCAGGTAATTTTGTTATAAGCAACAAAAATGGACTAATTCAGTAATTATAAAAAAGCTCTCGCTCTCCTGCATTGCTAGGACTTTCTGAACATGCTGGTGTGTTCTCTTCATGTCACGGGTGTACGACGACAGGTCCTTGTTTCTCTTTTCACTTTGTGGGACGGCCTTCTGAGGTGTGCACTTGCCTGGGCTGAGCTACAGTCTCCAGTGACTCAAACACTAAACTGGTGCTGCTGGGCAGGGATTTTGCAGACGACATTAAACCCTAATTAGTCCACTTTAAGTTCATCAAAGAGGAGATTATTCTGGGTGGGCCTGACCCTCCCAGGTGGGTCTTTTAAAAAGAAGTTCAGGCTCTCCTGGGTCTCAGAGCTCCTGCCTGTGGGGTTCCAGGCTGCTCATCCCCTTCTCTTCCTGACACCCATCCCACAGGCTTCACACTTGCTTAATGGCCCCACAACTGTGTGAACCAGTTCCTTGTAATAAATCCCTCACAGGGTTCTCTCTCTCTCTCTCTCTCTCTCTCTCACACACACACACACACACACACACACACCCTCGAACCAGTTCTGCTTCTGTGGTTGAACCCTGACTCACACACTTTGAAAAACTATAGATTCACAAGAAGTTATAAAGAGAGTACATAAAGTCCTGTGTGCCTTTCATCCAGCATCCCCTGATGGGGACACTCTATGGAGCCTGCCGTACCATGGCAAAAGCAGGAAAGGGACACTGGAACAATTCTGTGAGTGAAACTATAGGCCTTGTCGCTGATTCCTGTATGCGTGGGTAGTACTGGGCAGCTTGGTCCTATGCACAGGTCCGTGTAGCCACCACCACCAAGATGCAGAGCTGTCCCGTCTCCAATAAGGAGCTCCTCCATCTGCTCCCACTTTGTCCCCCACAGTCACTCCTCTGCTCGCCATTGCTACAGTTCTGACGTTTCAAGAACGTCACAGAGATGGCACCACACAGCCCTGAGTTCCACGCCCGTGGACGCACATGCTGGGGGATGGTCCCTTTTGGTTGCTGAGGTGTTCCATGGCCTGGATGCACAGTTTGTTGAACCACTCACACACTGAAGTGCACTCGGGGTATTCACGGGTTTGGGCTATTACAATAAAGCTGCCATTAACATTTGTGTACAGGTTTCTGTGTGGATGTAGTTTTCAATCCCCTGAGATAAATGCCCAAGAATGCGGTGATGCTGGGCCCCATGGCAGGTGCAGCTGAGCATCACTGGACACTGCCATGCTGTGTTCCAGGGCGCTGCACCAGTCTCCATCCCCACCTGCAGTGGGTGTGAGGTCCAGTTTCTCCACGCCCTCACCAGCATCTGGTGTCATCCCGATGTTTATTTCAGGCATGCAGTGGTGTCTCCCTGTGATGTTAATTTCTATTTCCCTGACGGAAAATGAGGTTGAGCATTGTTTCACGTACTTATCTGTCATCTGCACATCCTCTTTGGTAAAAACACTTGTTCGCGTTTCTCATCCATTTTCTAGTTGAATTGTTTCTCTTTTTACTGTTAAGTTTTGAGAGTTCTTTATTCGATACATGGGTCCTTTGTCAGATGTGTAGGTGGCAAGCATTTTCTCCTTGTCTGTAG